AATGGTTTGAAGGTACAAACTCTTCCTTGGGACGAGTATAATCTGGTGTATCAAAATCAACAAACCCTACACCAGAAGGGCTAACTTCTGAAAATCCACCAAATTCCCCAAATTCATCGTCATCATCATCCTCAGCTCCATTGTCAAGTGGTGGTGGGGATGAAGAGTACATTCGAATGATGTCTGGCTCCATTGTTCAGTTGTTTTCCAAATAATTAATTTACACCTGTAAAATAAAATAGAAAAGATTTTTTCTTTGGAGGTGACATATCACATAACAAGATTTCTCATAATCATCTCAAAGCCACTTTTAAAACAGTGTGAATTTTCATTGCTGTTTTGTATCTTTAAAACTATTTTTTCTCTTAAGTAAGATTACTTTACACAACTTTAAGACACTGATAAAAAAAAATCCCAAGCCCAAAATATTCTCCCTTCTAGTGTATGTCACCAAAGGTATTGATAGTACAGTAATGAAACTGGAGGATTCTGGAAAATTTGGAATACAGTCACAAAAGTACACCTACAAAATTCTCATCCAGGCACCACTTGTTCTGTTAAGCTTCTTTTAAATTCACCGAGGATGTAGTGTTTGCCTTATAGACTCCTATAAGCTCATAAATAAAACACATGAGAAATTTCCCTCCAGTAATTGCTAGAAATATTTTGTTTGACTTTTTTAAAAAAAGATTTATTTTAATTTTATTTGTGATATATTTTAAAATATTTTTCTATAAGCAATGTGCGCTCAGTAGAGAGAGGAGCAGAGGGGAGAGGGAAGAGAGCGAGAGAAAGAGAGAGAGAGATTAAATCACCAGGTCTGGGACTCGAACTGCATTGGGCCATGTGGAAATCCAGAGCCTCAACTACCACGCCACCTACTGGCCCTTCATTTGGCTTTTTAATGTTTATTTCTGACCCAAGTTCATTTTTGAATACCTTTTAAGTTTGAAATAGTTTAAGACTCAGGAGAAGCCTTGTTTAGATTTCACCCGTTTTGCATATATGTGTGTGTGCAAGTATAGTTTTATGAAATCTCGCCACACTGGTAGATTACATCAGTGACCATCACTACAGTTGGGCTAAGAACTGTTCCAACAACACAAAGAAACTCCCACTTGTTACACCCTTTACAGTCACACTCTTCTGGAAATCCTAACCCCTGGCAACCACTACTCTAATCTCCATAGTTAAAGTTTTGTTACGTTGAGAGAGTGTTATATAATTTGAATCCTACAATCTGTCACCCTTTGAAAAGCTGGCTTTTCAAACTCAAGACTACTGCCCCTGAGAGCCATCGGTGTTGCTGCATGTATCAGAACTTCATTTCATTGCTACATAGTATTTTATTGTGTAGCTATGGCACAGATTGTCTGTGTTTTCCCATTACAAATAAAATGCAGTTTGTCTGGGTTATTCTGTTTCTCTGCATCAAGGAGTTAAAAGTGCTACAAGTCAGACTTAACATTAAAAGCAAAGAAAGAACCAATAACCAAAGTCCTAGTATAAAACTCCCCCTAAAATAATGAATTTTTACTTGCAATTCACAGTTGCCGTTAGACATATGAAGAAAATGTTTACTATGAAATCCAACTAGTTTTTCAAGCAAGAGAAAGTCACGTTTTTCAACTCAAAATGGAAGTTCCTAATCCAGCTTTAGAGTAAAGGTACCTTAGAAACCACCTAATTTCATTTACAGGGGAGGTAAAATGGTGTGCTGGTGAGTAACTTTCCCAAAATCCACACAGCCTGCTCAGTGAAGAAAGGCTTCAGAACGTTGAGGTCAATGACTGCTCAGTTACTGCATTATTTGAAAAAATGGGCAGGTCATAAGAAAAGTAAAAGACTTAGGGAACCAGCAGTTAGCGTAATGGCTATGTCGCTGGACTCCCATGTAGTTGACCGCGGTTCATGTCCTGGACCCGGTGGCTTAAAACTCACGCCGGGCGCATGTGTGTGTGTGCCCAAGATCCCGAGAGGAGAATGGAGGAGAAGGGATTGCAGCGTGACCATCCCCCTGGGGGGTGATTTCTCGCTTTCTGTCTCTATGTCTCTCTCTGTCTGTCTGGCGAGCACACGCGCCCTGTAGCGAAAACCTCTCCAAAAAAAAAAAAAAAAAGAAAAGAAAAGAAAAGTAAAAGACTTGGGACAAGCAGACCATAAATGGTCACGCTGCTAGACTCTCACGTGGTTGACGACCCCAGTTCGAGTCCCGAATCTGTCATTTTAAAACTCACACTGGGCGTATGTGCATGTGTGCCCAAAATCCCAAGAAGAAGAGAATGGAAAAGAAGGGATTGCAGCATGGCCACCCCCCTGTGGGGTGATTTCTCGCTTCCTGTCTCTGTTTCTCTTTGTCTCTTCAGAGAACACATGTTCCCTATAGCAAAAATCTCTCAAAAAGAAAAAGAAAAAGTAAACGACTCCACTGTAATGTATCTACTTTAAATTATCTTCCTTACCGAAGGAAGATAAACCACATTTAGTTCTGAGATACTCTTCTTTCCTCTGCTGATTTAAAAAGGAAACAATTGAGCCAGACTCTAAGCCTCGTGGTTAAAGGAACCAGACTCCACATGGCTGACTGCAGTTTGAATCCTAGCCCCAGCAGCTTGAAAAGCATGCCGGACACGTGTGTGTGCATGTCCCAGATCCTCACGGGATGGAGAAAAGGAGGATCCTGAATTAGGGAGTGGTTTCTCCTTCTCCCTGTTTCTCTCTGGCTAATGTGCATATCCTCTGGCAATAAAAAGAAAAGAGAACAAAGAAGAAGGAAGAAAAAGGAGGTCACATCTTTAGCTCTGAGAAAATTTTTATTTCTACTTTAAAAAGAAAAAATAAATGACCAGCAGGTGGCACAGTGGTTAAGGCGCTAGATTCCCATATAGCTGACCGTGGTTCAAATTCTGGACTGAGTAGCTTGAAAACTATGACAAATAAATAAATTAATTAAATAAATTGTTGTTTGATAAAAGAAATAAAAAATAGAGCTAGCCCCATAACCCAGGGGTTAAGGAAGTCAGATCCCATGCATCCACCGTGTCTTGAATTCTGGCCCTGGAGGCTAGAAAACCACCATGCATGCACACAAGCACTAAATTCTGACTGGATGGAGAAATAGAGAAGGAATTGCAGGGTGACAACATCCCACTGGGAGGGGGGTTCTTTGTCTTTCTCTCTGTTGAGTATACATGCCCAGTGACGATTAAAATAAATAAATAAATAAATAAATAAATAAATAAATAAATAAATAAATGGCTAAGTCAATAAAAAATGCACATAAATCCTATTTTCGTCATTCCTCTAGTGTCCTGATAATCTCTTTATTCATTGTTTTATTTTTAAAATTAAAAAAATAATTTTTAACTTTACTTATTTATTTTTAATTTTGACTAGAGAGGTACAGAGAGCGAGAAAGTGAGTGAGAGAAAGAGACATGGGGAAAGTGAGAAAGCAAGCCGCCAGGTCCAGGACTCAAACCGCATTGGCCATGTGGGAGTTCAGTCCCCTTAACCACCAAGCCACCTGCTGGCCCCATAATTAAATTTTTCATTTTGCCAGAGGGCATGTATACTTGCTGGAGAGAGAGAGAAAGTGAGAAAGCACCCAATGAGGCATGGCCATGCCACAATCCCTTCTCCATTTCTTTCTCCCTTTGGCATTGTGGGCATGCTGGAACATGTGTCTGCATTGTTTCTCAGGCTGCCGGGCCTGGGACATGAACCAAGTGGATGGCCAAGGGGGCTCCAGCTCACTTAACTACTATGCCTTAGCCTGGCCTGTGTCTTGGTAATCCCTTCTAATGCTTAACACAGGGAAGCTGACTGCTAACAGTTTTCCTCTAATGATGAAATTCCTACTATTGTCGTGACCAGCAGTTAGCATAATGACTGTCACTGGACTCCCATGTTGTCCAAGGTGGTTCAAATCCTGACCCGGTGGCTTAAACTCACTCTGGGGACGTGTGTGGGTGCCCAAGATCCTGAGAGGAGAATGAAGGAGAAGGGATTACGGTATGGCCATCGCCCCTGGGGGTGATTTCTCGCTTTCGGTCTCTCTGTTTCTGTCTTTCTGGTGAGTGCATGTGCGCTATAGCAAAAACCTCTCCAAAAAGAAATTCCTACTATTGTTAATGAGAATGTGAAGAAAGAAAACCTTGCATGTGTGTGCGCACGCACACACACACACACACTGTTGACAGGAGTGTAAATTTTTACAAGGTTGCCAGAAGGCAATTTGGCTAAGCTACGTGAGTTTTTAAAAAAATGTAAAACAAAAATGCACCAAAGGGAGTATTTAAGCAAATTATAATATATCACCATTGAAGAGGAGTCATTAATTGCATAATTCCTTTTTTTCTGAAATTTGAACATATTCATAATGATGGTGACATGTCAAAAGGACACAGAAAGAAGCTTAAAGTGGTTCGTACTGGCCAAATCAGGGACAATGTGAATACTAAAAGAATGGATTGTAACCTGCTGAATAAAATAATAAACTGAGTCCTCACAGATAACAAAAGAGTAAACTGAACATTAGATGGGGAACAAAATACCTGCACAGTTTCAAAATATCTCCACACAATATGCTTAAGTACAAAGGTTAAAAAGTGTAACTTTCTGGTGAAGCCCGACACCACCTCAATCAAGTGATCAAGGTGAACATGGGTAATGGGAACACTGAGATCTCGCGCCACCTCAGATGCAATGAGAAGTACACAAAGACAGTTCTGGAACATTCCTGCCAATAATACATAACCTGAGTTCATGAGAAAATGTCAGACAAACTCAAACTGGGAGGCAGTCTACAAAATAATTGGTCTATAATCTTCACAAGTACGAAGGTCATAAAAACCTAGGGAAGACTGACAGACTGTTTTAAACTGAAGGAGACCAAAGAGACTTGAAAAGTACATGTAACACTTGATTCTCAACTGGATTCCCTTTCTATTATGGTCATTGTTGGGAGTGACTGGAAAATTTGAATAAAGTCAAACATTAGACAGCAGCGATGTATCTGTTAATTTCCTGGTTTAGAGGGTAGCGTTGTTACGTAAGAGCAAGTCCTTGGTTCTAGGAAATACACACTAAAATATTTAGGAGTGATAGGCATCACCTTGGCCACATCGTCTCGAATTGTTCCAGACATAAAGTTATTCGTATTGAACTTGCATTTTAAAAATTTTGTGATTGTTTTAAAATGAGGAATAAGAAATTAAAAGCAGTC